CTACAATTTCTGTCCCACTCTGTATTTATGTTTCATTATTACGAATCCTATCTTAGTTTTTGGATTTGTCAGATATTATTTCTAACAATTAAATAATGGTCTGACTTGGGACAACATACCACTTTTCAATAATTCTCTATTTATTTCACAGATGTAAAGAATTACATCTATGTTTTATTTATTTTAGTATAAATGGAGACAAACAATTACACAGACACCAAAAAAAAAAAAATAGTCACTTCGTACCATGGGCCAGGTCATGATATCTAGACTGCAGACCTGAACGCAAAATAAAAAATTTATGTTATCAGTTTAAAAATAGTATTTTAGATTAATATTTCTTATATCATTTAAATATTGCAAAATGAGTTTAGCTTTTTATATGCAGAGTTCCTATTTCTAAATCAGAGTTTCTAAATCCAATTTTTCTGTAACTGCATAAAATCCGCAGTCTAATTATGTTCTTACGTGTTTTGAACCGCTCGTGACGAGGACATGTTTGGAAATCGTTTTTCGTATATTTCGTTTGTTCGCCAAACAAAGCCGGGCAACGTAAAACATCTGCGTTACAAATTTAGCATTTGTTTTGGGTCTCGATAAGAATGAGAATCTTCCTTTCTGTCCTGAAGAGGATTATCCGAGTCTCTTGTATCATAGTTATGGATAGTTTGAGACGTTCATTTCTTAGCGAACGAGTAACATCGTCGCGTTTATATTATAGAGTTACGATCACTGATTTCGAGGAAGGTTCTTCGAATAAGAGTATATGTAATAATTTTAAATTAGTTCCTGTTGGGTTTTATTGTAATATAACATATTTTAAATAACTTGAGAACGTGTAAGAATGTAAGGACACGTCTAATTGTCAAAACGTACTCAAATGGAATGGCGTTGTAATAACAACGAAGAACAAATTCAGAGATAATCGAACGCAATATATGGTTAGCCAGCTTCGACTTTCAACTTATGTTATAATTTGCATTATGTAACAAGTCAGTAACAAACTGATTCTAGATAATATATATTCCAACAATTTTTAATTCTATGTTAAAAAACATGTTACAATTTTTTTATTCTGCTTACTAATTTCAATTCATAAAATCAAGGACAGAATAAGGAAAGTGTACCAATTTCTATTCACTGATGTAAATTTCTATTATTTTAAAATAATTTAATATTATTTCATGTTATCTTAAATTTATAGAAAATACGTCAATGAATGTAAATTGGACCGTGAACAGAAATTGGGACATTTGCCTGAATTACAATATACGTTTTAAATTAATTTTATGTAAGAGTTTCAATAGTAATTTTAAATTAATTTTATGTAACAGTTTCAATACCAATTTTAAATTAATTCTACATAGCAATGTCAATAACAATTCTAAATTGATTCTAAATAACAATTTTAAACGAATTGCATTTCAAGTATCCTAACAACGACTAAAAAAAGTTTCATAGGTGGTTGATCATTTCTGACACTGGATTCAGCGTTTCCAGAAAATACATAAGAATACCTATTCTTCTTGGTATGCCTTTTTAATTATTATTGTTATTCTCGAATTGTAATTAATCCTTTCATTCCTGAATTACTTTTCATGATTTTCTACTATTGTTAAGAAATCTATTATGTAACAAATTAATCATGTTAAGAAGAACTTTCTTACTCGGATAAAAGTTGTTCGTGAAGCACTCAAGAACACAAATATACCCTACAGTTCATTATAGATTGCATAAAAGTTTGAGGAATGAAACACCTCATATGACAATGGCAGGAACGAAAGGATAAAACAGGGTATTCCATACGATTTATTCAAAGTTATCCATAACTTTCTTCCACAAATGAACCATTTTTTAAACTTATTTTTAGATAAATACGAAAGAGATCAGTTTCGTAACAAGTGTTACATGAATAACAGTTTAGAAAACATACTCATATTCTTGTAATTTTTATACACTGTACTGTGTACTTACTACGAGATCACATAGTTTTCTGTCCGACTTGTTTGCTAATCAACACGATCAGTTTAAGTACGTTACATGATGATAAGCAACTCCGGGAGTTACATTGAACAGAACAAACAAATGTAAAACACGAAACATAAGTGTCATGTCTGTGATACTTAATTCAGTAGTGAGCCAGATTCAAATGCTTTCTACCTCCTCAAATATTTTTATAGTATCTATCCTCTACGTAGATAAGCGAATCATTGAGATTAATCGTAAACAAATGTTATTCTTATTTTGGGAGTCATTAAATGTATACATATAGAATAGGCATCTTTTAACTAATTTATAATGAGAAACAGGAATCCTATGTGGCATCAATAAAAATTGTTTGCAGTCTGCATATTGTATAAGAAAAAATATTATATCGCACAATTGAACAATTCCTATTGTGAAATTAATTTCTTTCACGAATAACTTTTTATTTATTAAGGAAATGTAGCTTGAATTATATTACTATTGTTATCCACACGATGCTAACGAATTTGTTTATTATCTCTTTATATGTATGTTGATCTGAACTTTATGCCAGATAAAGTTCTAAACTGTCTTCTCATAGAGATTAAAACTGTTCTTATATGTGGGTCATTTCAGTGTCATTGGATTACTTTCATTTGTCTTATCACAAAATGTACATTGTCTTATGGAACTTCTTTCTATACAGTATCATCAGCGAATCGCGAGTATTATACATTTTTGTATAAAATCGAAAGGTACTGCGTTATAGTTTGTATCTAGGAAGAAATCTATCTGAGATGCTGGTTTTGATCTAACTAATGCAGATCAGATATTAATTTCATTATTCTTTAACGGATTGTTTTTCATCGGTGAATAGCAATTTTTTATTAAGGGAACTTTGTCGACAGTAGAATTAGTAATCAGATTTTTATAAAATTTGATGTACTGCTAGGTAAAGGTTTTAAATTAAAGACAGAGTACCTAAAATAAGTTATTAAAAATGTTGGCCTTAAGAAACTGCATTTTCATTGTCTTCA